AATGTTGAGATCCCAGGGTATACGTGTATTTCACACTATGAATGCTGAAGTCGCCGAGAAGAGTCAGATCGCCTCTTGTGGCCTTTTCCCTCTTTTATGATGGTTTGAGCTAGGATCTCTACCATCAGAGCGATATTGCAAATTTTGGCCGAGAAAAGTGCAAAACTTAATCCGAATCTCTCTAAGGAGAGTTTTTCTGAAAGGATGCAGCTGAGGGCCGAAGGTTTTTCTAGGGATACGTTTTTATCCAGATTATGACAAAAAAAAACTACAGCGCAATCGCTCCTGAAAGGGAGAGGGTCAAGACTGTTGCTGAGGGAATGTTCGCGATTTTATTCCAGCTTCCAATCCTCCTACGATTTTCCCGGACCACAGTCTTATGGGACGCTGAATATAGTCTATACTGGAGAGGAAAGCCTGCACTTCCAAACGCATCATTGTTGCTGCTCCTGAAAAATCACTGAAAAAAGCCGAGCTGGAGTTTCTCAAGAAACCCTGCGTGCCACCGCCGATGAGTGGCCGAAGCGTCTCGTAGCTATAATTAGTACAGGGAACGGTTAAATAAGGTCGTTGTGTGTTCGTTTTGTAGATGCGATGTTTAGTAAAACAAATAATAAATGCTTAGTAAATCAAGTAATGAATCAATAAATCAATTAAGTCACATGAATTCACCATGCATCAATTAGAACTGCGATTTGTGTAGTCCAATTCCTTCTTACCATATTTATGGCGCACCCTGTAAAACCACTATCTTTCAAAGGCACAGTTCAAGATATTTTGGGTTATCCAGATTATGACAAAAAATAAAAGAGAAGGTGGAGAGTAGTGCGATGGAGACGAAGGAAGCACATAATTCGGTGTTTTCAGAGTGATAAAAGGCTCCGAAAAAGGAATTTAAAAAGGGGCTGGACGAGAGTCAGACCAGAAAAATGCAGTAGAACGAGGATTTGGAGGAGCTGTACAATAAGTGTCATTGCGTACGTGTGAGTCTTGGTGCGAATAGCTAAATACAGTGAACAAAAATGTCCTTTGAAACTCATTCACTCATGAGAATAAGTTAACAAAAACGCTGCTATTAGCAAAAATAACCCACCTTCTTCAGCCTCCTAAGGTGGAAAGCTAAATGAAGGACCGCAGCAGCAAAAACAAAACGTGAATTTAGAATAGAAGTAAAACTTACACAGTGATCAGCTAATCGTGTGCTGTGTGTGCTGCACATGTGGGTCCTGGCGCGAAGATTGTAATCTGTACCACCTATACAACTTGTCTGAGTTAACATCGGTCGATGGGCGTGGCATCCGACCGGAGATCCTAAGGAACCATTTTTATCGTGAATTGTGCCATTGAACCACTTGGAATCTGTTCTTTTCTTCGGTAAACGACTGTCGGAAATTTACAGAACAAATTTACAGAACTTGGTATAAGAAGCGTGTTTCTTTCAAGTATAACTCTTATCATATAACTATTGTAATATGAAATGACTATAATCAACGCTGCGATCAATTTTTGGAACGTATTCATTTCTCTACTATTCACAAATTAACTACTTCAATTGAGAAAAGTATTTAATTTTTTGCAGCACTCATGTCGTTCTGTAAAGTATATAATGAAATGTTGAGGCAAACCACTCGATACCGTAGTAGAGTTTGCTGGAGAAATCGTAACTCTCAGAAGTTTGTTTAAGAAGATCCCAGCAGAAGAGCGTGAACCGACGATCAGATTAATAAAGGTACGTTATCCATAGGGTAGTCAGTCTGATATTAGGTTGATGCATAATTATTGCGGATTTTTTCGTGGCTTTTTTTTCTCTCGATAGAATTTGAATATTGAGTTCGGGTTTTTTCTAGAAAAGATCTACTTGTTTTCCTCTACAAGAATATGCTCAAAAAACCACCCGCCTATTCGGGAACTTAGGCTTAACTACAAGGTGGCACAGTCACTCAACGATCTCAGAAACTTTCGGAGATCGTTCATTAGGTGATCTAGTTAAAGTACACATGATTTCCTGGCGGACAA